TAGTCGGGTTCTTCATCATTAGACCAGGCTTCGGGGTGTCGGGCCTGATATAGGGGTTCTGCATCATTAGAACAGGGCATGGTAGTTTTTCTTATGCGGTGGGGTCTCTCCTCTTATGATCCCGGGCGTTTTCTTGTGCTAACGGTTTCAGAATAGGGTTTAGGGTTTNNGTTTAGGGTTTAGGGTCTAATCTAAGGGCCAGAATGACTCGAAGACGGCTAGAGATGGTTTAGGCCTTAGGGCTTTACATAGGGGTCTTGCTGTAATTCTTAATCATGAGAACAGGGATTGATAAGGTCTTTTTTTATAGAGGCTTAACATGTAGTCTAGGTCGCGTTCCTCCGTAGCACCCTCATACCCTCTTTTGTTCGGACGGGGGGGTTCCGATTTAGACAGAACAATACTTAGAAAGGATATCTGTATTTCAAGGGGGTATAGTTGGGCATGGGCTCCAGATCTTAATGTTCAGGATTAAGGCCAAAGGCTTTAGGGTGTGTTTCGGCCTTTAGGCTTCAATACTTCGAGGTTTTAGGGGCTTGGGGCTTCAGCTTGTCTGCTGTATATGGGTCTCAACAGAACACATGCCCTTAATCCCAGATACCAGTGACAGACCCAGGAAAATTTTGCGGTTTAGGGTCGAGGGGCCCTTGACTTTTTGACGAGTATATTTAGGCTTGAAGGATTTTCGGGACATATTCTGACCTTAACAAGGTCAAGCCGGATGATGCAAGAATGGAGTTAATAAACCCTTCCAGTAACCCTTGTGGAACTCTGATGGAAACTAAACATGCATCTTGCCGTTGTTTCCTGTTCATTTGGACTACACGACCGTTCGGAAGCGAAGAGTCCATGCTAGGAGGGGATTAAAGCTAAACGGCTTCATGGGGGCTCCGAGGGCCTTCGTGTGATCTGAACCTCTAAACTCCTAAACCCTACGCACCTAGACTGCAAACTCCCATACACTAAACGAGAACAAGGCACCAGGAGGCCAGAGACCAGGGAACTCCATCTATGCCGAAGGCCTTAGCCGGTTCTTGAAACGATGTGCACATGGATGACGATAGGACTGGATACTGTTAGAATGGGGTTTTGCAGTATGGTTTAGGGTTTAGGATTTAGGGTTTGTTGCAGTATATTCATATAGGGATTACAAGGGGATGATGCTGCTGATCATTCTGATATATTGCTGGTTTGGGCTTCCAACTTTTTGAAAATCAAGCCCTCGGGGCTTAGATCTTGCACGAGCTTATACAAGCATGATGCGCAAAAGGACACAAACAAAGCCAGACACTGAATCTGTCGATCGATCTATCTACCGATCTATCTATCCAGCTATCTAGCTATCTAGCTCCTACCTATCCGTCTAGCTGTCTGGTTGTCTGTCTGCCTGCCTGGCTGTCTGCCCTCCCTGTCTATGTATCTGTCTGTCTATCTATCTGTCTTTCGAAGTTAACTATCTACCTAACGATCGATCTACCTATCGGTCTACCTTCCCTGCAATATTACTGGTAACAACATCACAGTAGTAAAAAAAACAATACAAACAAACTCGTGTATGAAAAACTTCCCAAGACGGCCAGGGCGGCAGAGGAAGCGTTCAGCATAACGAGACCACTTACCTGCCAGGCCATTGGGACCCGAGATGGGTTAAGGGCTTGCTGGCTAAAAGGATCATGGGAGTCAGTGAATAGGGCTATAAGTACCCTAATTAGGATGATAATTAGGGTGATAAGTACATAACTACCTTACTTATAACCCTACTTACAAAGTCTCCTGATCCTCCAAGGGCCCTGACAGAACCCTGAAAAACACTCCTATACAACCCTGGAAACACCCCTGTGCGGCCCTTGGGGGTTGAGGGATCCCCGAGTAGGGCTCAGGGTCTTGGCCTGTTGACGGCCCTTTCTACGAAGGGTCCTATTGTTGATGATGTAAACCCTGCATTACCTTGAAGACCCTAAACTATGGGAATTATGGCACATTCCTTATTATGGTGAATAGAGGATTTATATCAGCAACCGTCTTATCTAGGGTCTATACTCATCAACATTATGATCACCACCCCATCGTCATCACAGGATACATATGTACATGTTCAAACCTTCTGCCCACGCCTTATACCCGCCTTTTGAAAAATGTTCACCAAACCGGAAATCCTAAACCCTTAACCATAAACCCTAAACCCTGAGGCCAAAAACGGACCTTGGCAGGTTCGTATCTGTAGACTTTCTTCGTTGTGGTTCCCGCAAGGAAGCTCCCATCCTTGGCTCTTGGCAGGCGGTGCTTCGAAGCTCAGGATCTCGAACTTGGGGCGCAGGGTTCGGGGGGTGATTCAAATTTCATGTTTGAAGATTGGGGGGTTACAGCTCATTCTGTGTGCAATTCTCTAGGTTGTTCTTCCTTCTCTCTCTTTCTCTCTCAATCTCTCTCCTGCTCTTGGTTGCCAGGACTGAACAGACTGTCGGGCCCCAATGCGGCCGACAGCGGACTCTCTCTCGCTCTCTCTCTCTCTCTGTGTCTCCCCCTCCCTGGCACTTCCTCCATCTTTCAGTCACGTGCCCAAAAAACTCAAGAGAGAGAGAGAGAGATATATATATATATCCATACACATACACATTATTGTGTCTGGATTTGAACCTCGCGAAACCTAAAGATCTATCTATCCACATGTCCTGTCCACTTGTCCATCTATCTATCTACCTGTCTGTCTATCTATCTATCTATCTATCTATCTATCGTTGTATCTATGTACGTATGTATCTATCTATCTAGATATCTAAATATCTAGGTATCTATCTAGCTATCTATCTTCCTACCTATCTACAGATCTACCTACGTGGCTAGTCTACATGCCGCTTACCTGCCTGCCTAGCCGGTGCCGAAGTCTTCTCACGGAGGCGGCGCTTCTTGTTCTGGTCAGGGTAGAAGGCCCTTCATTCTCAGGCGACTCAGGGGACGTTGGAAGATGTCGTACCCGGGGCTTGGGGGCAAGCCAGATCTGGATCTGCTCATTGGCGTGAGCGACGAAGTCCTGGACTCGGGTAAAGGAAGCCAGCACCTGCGTGGATGAGTCAATCATATCCTGCTGGATCTCTTTTTCATGCTCAGGGCCATAAAAAGTAGCGCCGAGCTTGTAGTGACCATAGAGAGGCTTGTCCTGTTAAGGGATAAGATCCTTGTGGACGTTGTCCACAACCACACGATGGATGATGGCATCCTTTTGCTCACTTGGCAAGCGGATGTACAGGGCAGACTCGGTGAACACGAAGAAGATGGCACGCTTCATCACGGCCAAGATGTCCTTCTCTCTGTCCCCGTCAAAGTTGTAGAAGGCGTTGTTGATCGAAGCTCCTCATGGGTCAAAACCGGGTCGTCACCAATGTCGTTTGACACAATGGCCCTCATCTGGATACGGGCTAAACCAGCATCATTGTACCTACGTCGCAGGTCCCGTCCTCATCGACGGTGACAAAGGACTTGAAGTCGGCGATGCTTACTCTTGACAGCAAGGGATCGTCTAAAAACAAAGCCTCCTGAACCTGGGGAAAGCGATGACGAAAGTTGTCAATAGACTTGGCCCTCCGCCATCCTGCTTGAACACCTTCAAGGTATAGGCGCCGTGCGTGGTATCGACCCATGACAAGAGCCATGGCAATCAAGGCTGGTGTTTTGCCGACTCCAGCGCAACCAACCATGACGATGGCGTAGGTCGTGAGGAGTACTGTAGGTTATGAGTGGGAAGGATGTCATGCTCTGGGCGCCGGCAACCCCCCGGCTTTTGTTTTGGGCCATGACCCGGACCTTAGTCTCTGGCCACCCTGCGATGGGAGTAGCTGAGTCAGGTTTGGTGCAAGTCAGAACCCAATAGGTTTGCTCATTGCAGGCATCATACTCTGGTGCGTGCTCATTGATAAATCTGATACCCTCAGAGAAGTTCTCATTGTCGGTGGACCATGTAGTCTGGGACTGAGACATGCGCAATAACTCCGTGCGCCTCTCTTCTGGAGTGTTCCAACGAACGCGGTAGCCGGAGATCCTCTTGAGGAGCCAGGGGAAAGCCTTCTTGACTGCCCAAGGGCCTGGACGAAACACAGGCGCGAAGCCTTCTCCACGACAAAGAGATGACGCTATCTGGGCGGATACCGGCTTGTTGAAGTGGATGACCTTGATCACGTCAATGAGACCATCACCTGAATTGCTGATGATAGTCTCTACCTTGGAGGCAGGCAATCCCTGCCTGAACTGGAGTTGCTCGGGTAGATTGGCAAGATCCCCTCGAGCAACAGCATCTCCAATCACAGAAGCCCAACCACACTCGCCCATGGAGATGTGCGCGTCAAACACAACGGCCGCGGACTTGAATCACGTGTTCGTGGAACGGCATGCCCCGTCCAGGAAATCCCGAACAGACAGAGGCTCGTCACACTGACGATGATCACACTGAGGACGACTGTAAGAGCGGAAGATCCACTTTTTGTTGTCGGATGTGGCTGTGATTGCGTCATCGAGGAGGTGTCCCGACATGATAGACTAAAGCTTGGAGAGTACAGGACGAGAACGAGGAGGCACTGAGCAGGATGATCCCTGAGAGGCTGCGTGACGTATGTAGCAAAGACACGTGTTTGCGCATGTGCCTGTGTGTGTACTTTGTATCATTCCTGAGAGGTTGCGTGACGCATGTAGCACAGACACGTGTGTGCGCATGTGATTGCGTGGTGCGCTTTCTATGACCCTGAGACGCTGCCTGACGGACGTAGAAAAGACACGTGCTTGCGCATATGCTGTGGTGTGTCTGTACTTTGTACGACAAGATCACGACTATGCTGGTTTACTCGTTTCACATGAGGTAGGATAGTAGGAATAGATAGTGTGTTAGTTGCTGTTGTAGCTGGTCACAAGGCGACTGTTGTACTGCTAGCGACTGACTCATCGTTTCTTACTAACTGGAGAACACCCACGATGAGCAGTGCTGCAGCGAGGCACGTGTGTGACACGTTTTTCACACTGCTCCACTTGCCTCATCGCAAGCAGTCTCCGGAAGACGAGATGCCGGCCAACTAGGGTCTAGTGACTCTAGTGCTTAACTGCCATCAAACACTTCTTTGGCACAATGGCACGCAGGACCTTCGCGCTTGCATTGTGCTTATTCTTGTTGTTTCCGGAGGCTTCAAGCAAGTCCAATCCACATGTGTAGGCATCGGCGAAGTCGCTGGGCCACATCATCCTGTCAACGTTGGGAGGAGCGTGCAAGGAGCTTGAGGACGAGGAGCTGCTGCACGAGGAGTTCGAGTCGCTATCATCGTTCGGGGCCGGGTTGTTCTTGGCACTGCCCTTCGCCAAGGGTTTGTTGTTGGCGTCGGCGGGCTCATCGACGGCAACCTCCGGGTGCCCAATGTCGTGTCGTTGGTGAGTTCATCCTGAATGGCCTTGGGATCCTGGGAGGCGTCTTCAATAGCATTGATCGCGGTGGCTTTGCGCTTGGTGCGCTTCGGCTTGGCCAACAACTCCATGATTTTTGTCGGCCTTTAGCGACCACTCGCCCTGTAGTCCAATGGTGAGGCCGAGCGCCACCTGAATATTGTTGAGCATGATGCGCAAGTCCGTGGAGCTCATCGGAAACCGAAACGAGTGGACTGTGACCGAGCCATTATTGATTGCCTCCAAGAACTCCTGGTCCGAACGCTGCTCGGATAGTGGCCATGGTGGAGTCGAATTGGAAGATGACGAGCCCATGTCAAAACCTGAGACGTTGGATGAGGTTCCTGTCATGCGCTCCGATTTGGGTGATATCTTGAGGTAGGCGGAACCGTCCTTGAACACGACCGCTCCATGGACTGGAATTCGCCATTTATAGTTGGATCAACACATATGGTCGAATAGGTCTGGGTTGGAATTATTAGAGCTCACAGAAAACGTGATCCCGATTGAAACCGATTGAAGCGATTGAAATTCAATCGAGCCCTGGATTCAAGATTCAAGATTCAATATTTCAGGAAAAGATTTCTGGAATCTTGCATCCCGATTGAAACCGATCGAAGCGATTGAACTTCAATCGAGCCCTGGGTTCAAGATTCAAGCTTTGAGGAAAAGTTTTCCGAGAATCTTGAATCCCGATTGAAACCGATTGAATTTCAATCGGGTCTTGGATTCAAGATTCACGGTTTCAATCGGGATTCAAGATTCTCAGAAAACTTTTCCTCAAATGTTGAATCTTGAATCCAGGGCTCGATTGAATCAATCGTTTTCAATCGGGATTCAAGATTCTCAGAAAAATTTTCCTCAAATCTGGGCTCGATTGAAGTTCAATCGCTTCGATCGGTTTCAATCGGGATTCAAGGTTCTCAGAAATCTTTTCCTGAAATATTGAATCTTGAATCTTGAATCCAGGGCTTGATTGAAGTTCAATCGGTTTCAATCGGTCGACTGCCTGCACAACAATCGTCTGGTACCCTCCCATCCAAACATCCACCAATAAGGGTGGATCTTGGGGGTACCATCCATATATATATATATATTTATATATTTATATTTATATTTATATATAGATGGATAGATAGATAGATAGATAGATAGATAGATGCTAACTGGCTAGCAGTAGGCAGCATTGGCCAATGAGGACAACAACCAGACCGAAAAACAAAAACATTAGAGCACTAACAGTCGTAAGAAGGCTTGTTGACAGCAACAAGCCGAACTATGACGGTGATACACAGATTATATCCGAAGTAATGAATAAAATCTGACACCTACACCCGAATAAACAACATGTTCCGGCAGGCTAAACCCTAAGAGCCTAAACCCAAAGGCCCTAAGACCTAAAACCCTACAGCCCTAAGCCCAGCAGCTGCCAGTGCAAGAAGGGAAGTGATGAGAGTCCATTCGTTGTTGACCTCTCCACGCGCAAAACTGCTTTCTGGCTAAGGAACTTAACTTTCAGATACCACAACAGGGGAAACCCCATTGTTTAGTATAGGCCCCTAAATGGCAACTTAAACTAAGCCTCTTAACAGTAACCCAGTATTCTACTGACTAACGCGCCTATATCATAGACGCCTCATAGTAACACGCCTATAGCAGCCATTATATGGAGGCCTTTACAAGGAACTTTGACAAGGAACCGTAAGGTTAACCATAAACCCTGAACCCTGAATAACGCTCCTTGACAAGAACCCAGAAAACAATGACAAAATTGCGGTCTATGTGAGGGTCGGGAGTTCTGGGCTTGGGGTTTTGCGTTTACGGCCTGGGGTTTCGGGTTGAGGGGTCTGGCTTTTAAGTTTAGGGGTTTGGGGTTGAGAGTTTAGAGTTTCGGGTGGAGGTCTTAGGCGGTTTAAGCTTTCAGGGTTTGGAGGGCCCCCACTCAAGTCCCAAAATCTGAACTTATCTTGTCGCTTATCATTCTATGCGGCAAACAGGATAGTTACCCCTACATGGCACCAACTATGATGTACTTGCTACGTCTGGCCCAAGGGCTGGAAGGTCAAGCCATCCATATAACAGAGCTTCAAGCCTTAATGAAGGAGCTTTGATGATTCCAACCGGGTTCTAGGGTATGTCAAACAAAAAGTCATCCTACGTATTATAGCGACTAAATGCACCAGCTCCCTGCCAGGGCCTCAAGCCACAGGATTTGAAGCCTAAAGGATTTTGGGTGGAGGTTTCCGGGTTTAGGGTTTAGGGTGTAGGCTTTTGGGGTCTAGTCGACCATGAAACCTGATCCGGACAGAATGCAATTTGCTTACAAGTTAAGACAAGAAGTGAACACAAATCACATATGAACACAATGCTGATACTAAAGATGTCAAAACGAAACGCCAAACAACAAAAGGAAAGCTTGTAGATGTGACCGTGAATTTAGGAAAATTTGACCCTAAACCCTAAACCGGCTTTCCAACTTTTCTGTGAATTTACCGAGACCAGGAACTCGACCAAGGGGTTCGGCGGCGGTGGAGCCCCCGGCGAGACGGTTTAGGGATTAGGTTTTAGGGCTTAGGCTTTCGGGTTTCGGGTTTAGGGATTGGGGTTTAGGGTTCAGGGTTTAGGGTTGAGGGCTTAGGGTTTAGGGCTTATAGGGATTGGGGTTTAGGGTTTAGGGTCGAACCTTTTCGGTTCTGATGGCTAAATAAGACTCACTGCTTTGTTCCAGTGTCTTCTCACAAGTTGCAGCAGTGTCTTCGAGGTTCAACAAGATTCAGCACAATCTTATCGGGCCGAGCTTGAAATGGACAAACAGGTGCGGGCATATGTATTATTCGCTTTTAGCGAAAACCCTTGGAGTTCTGAGCCGTGGGGTTCCAGGGCGGCTTGGATGTTTTGTTGCGTTTGCGCTTTTAGTTAATGTAGGGGCCTTTAGAAATCAGAACAGGGTCTTTGGGCTCCTGTATAGTGGGATGATGATAAGGAGCCCTGGGGAATGATCCTGGTAATTCATCTATTTGGCTTCTAAAACATATAGAGCTTCGGGCTGAGCAGGGTTTAGGGTTGAGGGGTAGGCCGATTGGGGTTTTGGACAAGAGCACGAAAACTATTGTGAGGAGTAGGATGAAGATGAATCAAGACAACGAACCTAGTGTCATAAAGGCCAATGTAATGTAGACAACATGAAGAAAATTATAGCACAACCGACAAATGCAGACAAATTGAGACAAAGAAGGGCAGCACATCTCAAAATGTGATTACCCTAAACCCTAAACCCTAAACCCTAAACCCTAAACCCAACCCTAAACCCCTAAACCCTAAACCCTAAAATTTAAACCCCTATACGCTAAACCCTAGTCCCTAATCCCTAAAATTATACAAGACGCGCTGTCGTTTCATGTCCCAGGGCTCAAAACCTTTGAGGTCTACGCCCGGTCGTTTGAGACCCTCGCAACACATCAAGCATAGGAGGGGAGGGTTTAGGGCTTAGGATTTAAGGTTTAGGGGTTTAGGGTTTAGGGGACTAGGGGACTATTGCCAGTAATTCAGACCTTGAACTCGGTAGTTTTCTGTGGTGTTCTTGGCTGTAAGCAGGAAGGTCTTCCTAAACCCCAAACCCAAAACCTTAAACCCTGAACATGTCTTCAATGTCGTCTGGCCCCTTCGGATTCGGGGCGTGCAACTCCATGAGTCGGAGCTATGCTTGATGATATAAATCCGTAGCATGACCTTAAGGACCCTAAACTATGGGAATTATGGTCTATTCCTTTTTATGACATGACCTTAAGGACCCTAAACTATGGGAAGTATGGTCTATTCCTTTTTATGGCATGACCTTAAGGACCCTAAGCTATGGGAATGATGGTCTACTCCTTACTAAACTATGGGAATGATGGTTTATTCCTTATTATGGGTAATGCAAGGCTTATATCATCAAC